TCTTATAGTGAAAGTGATTAAACTTTTTTTTTTCTAATCTAATCCTAATTAATTCTATCTGTTCAAATCTATCTTGAGGTTTCAAAAAACATTATTTCATTCTGTTACAAGCATTTTCCATTTCACTATGTAGTATAATATTCTTTAATTTCTGGTCAGTAAAATAACAGTAATAAATTAATTTCCATAATATAATTGTTATTAAACTTTACCTGATCTATTGTTATGTAAACATTTCCTATTACGACCTTATTTTAATCTACATGTAGTTTAATAATGTTCGACGTCTGTCTAATATATTCCTATTTTTCTTTGCAAGCTAATCGTTACTATTTTCTAATACGATTTCATTGAAACATAACTGTTGTACGATTTCATTTAGCTTATTTCCGATATAACTCTGCCTAATTTCTTTTGTTATTAAAATCTATTTAACTGTTTAATCTTGTGTTTTCTATTTTAATATGTTCTTAACCTAATTCTGTTTAACTTCTTCCTAGTAAAATCTTGTTTCTGTTATGTAATCACGTCTACATTTTCTGATGTAATCATATTTAAATGATAGCCGATTTAATGTTGCCTACTTTATTTTTTCTATTAAATTTTTATCCCACTTATTTTGTATATAGCATTATACTTTCTTTCTTCAGCTCATTTTAATTATTATTCAGTTTTACTTAACATCTTTAAATGTTAAGCATTCAAGTTCATTCGTTTCTGAATACCCAAACGTTTCTAGATTTGATAGTGGTTACCCAAACGTTTCTAGATTTGATAGTCACTTGATTTTAAAACTTTGCAGGTTTTGTTTGGTGATTTTGTAAAGCATTTCTAACTTAATTTAATTTATTTGTAGCTTCCATTTTGTATACCGCTGTTTTGGGTGGAAAAGTAGCTCTTCCATGTGACATCTCCTCACCCTCGGTTGATGACTCCGCTGCTCTCATTCTCTGGTACAAGGATGACTCAGCTCAGCCCATTTATACCCTGGACGCCAGGCGTGGTAATGTGGATCAAGCCCACCAGTCATCTGGTTCCCAGCTGGAGAATCGTGCTTATTTTAACATGATCAACAGGCCAGCGTTTCTCCAGCTGGATCCAGTAAAGGAAGAAGACGCAGGAGAATACAGGTGTCGTGTAGACTTCCACAAGGCCCGGACTGTTAACACAGTTATTACTTTGAAAATCATAGGTATTTCATTTCAGATTCTTAACTATATGTGTATATGATCATAACTTTTAAAAGTGGAAATAATTATCTAATCTAATTTGACTCCTTCTAAATTAAGGCTAATACATTTAATATTGTGGGCTTATAATACTAAAATCCAGGGTTTGATTCACCGCGTTGGACAATGCGCAGATAGCCCACTGTGTAGCTTTGCGCCAAAAAAACAACAACATTTATAATTATTTTTCATTTTTACTAAGTCACCACCCAAATGGCACATATATATGTGTGCGTGTGATAATAATTTAATCTAAGAACTGGTGCTTGCTTCTAAAATAAAAAAAACAACAACAACATTTATAATTATTTTTCGTTTTTACTAAGTCACCACCCAAATGGCACATATATATT